AAACGCACCGGCCGAGCCGAGCCGAGCCGTGCCGAGCCGAGCCGAGCCGAGTTTTAGTAGTTGCCGTTTTTTTCGTCATACCTGACGTATCTTGAGTTAATTCACTCCCCTCTCACTCTCTTTGTTCCTTCTCTCTTTTCCCGTCTCTCGCATATCCATCTTGCAAATTAGTTACATGACTGTTCAGTACATGGTGAGTAGAGGCTGTACTGATGATTCCTAGTCCTGAGCCGAAGCAAAGTTCAGACTGTGTTTACAGCTAAGGGATGAAACACACAGACAGAGTGCATCGTAAAATGTCTTCTTACACATGACACTTAGGTCCAATCCTTCTGTTCTACTATTTCCTTGACCCATTTATATTTTTTTTTCTAACCGTTCATCTTTCAGGAAGTCAAAATTCGGAAGCGTAAGCACAGTAGCGACGACAACGACAAGAGCAGTAGCGGTAGTGATGTAGCAACTTCGGGAACAGTAAACGTGTACGATCGAATGCCAAACAACGTACATTTTCATGTGAAGGATGGTCAGTTTTTGCTGCCTTTCCGATCAGTAACCGCACCCCGTCCTCCCCCCCCCCTTCCCCCAATATTCCGAAACTTAAACCATTACCCCGCGGCCCCGCATATTGCAGCATCAAGGTTGACTCTGGAAGTACAGATGGCGGAGGTGTGGAGTTCAGGAGAAAAAGAAATATTGTAGATTAGAGAAGGTAAGGGCGAGATAAGACATTTTGGTCCATTATGCCATATGCGTCATCTTAACTCAACACTGCGACTGGACCTCGTCAGTATGACAGAAACAGTACAAAGAGAGGAGAAAGAAAAAAGAAAGAAGGAGGAAGTGAAAGCGAATGTAAACCGAAAGTGGGAGAGGAGACAGAGACTGTAACATTATAAAGCAGGTGAGAAGAGGGAGGGGAGAGGGGAGAGAAAGGAGGGAGGAGAGAGGGGAATTTTGCGCTGCCCGTACCTGAAACGCAGACGTGAATAGGGGCTGAATTGAAATTTATAGAATTGCACTTGATCAGAAAATAACTTCCAAAAAATTCTGCCTGTTTTTTCTGATTTTCAAACTAAAAATTTCCCAGTGTGAAATTTTTCTTGCCCATTTATGAAAATTTTCAGCTTTCTAGCTTTTCTGACTTCCAATTCAGTGATTATTGTGCCAAAACTTACGTGTCCCTGTGTGAGATCTGGGCGCATATTATCATGCCAAAATTTACGTGTCCCTATGTGAGACTTGAGCGTATGTATAGAGATATATTTGAATTGTTTGGCTGGTACATGAAGGAGAAAACATCCTCGTAAAATTTCAGCTTCCTAGCTTTTCTGGTTCTCGAGTTAGTGATTTTCACGCCAAAACTTTCAAGTGTCCATACACGAGGTTTAAACGTACTTGGAGCCCTAATTTTCATTTTTGACATTTTATAAAATCACTGGATTTGCAGGAATTCGTTACTTGAGCCCATATTGGAGTGTTTATCGAACATGGGCTAAAGGAAGATGGATTGGCCGACGTTTACTTGATGTTTTTGCGGATGAATTTTTGGCGCTGAGTCCCAACTATCCGGTAATGTTTCCTGAATTTTTAAAAAAATATCAGACAGATTGCTTTGCAGATGCCCATTCTTAGAACAGTTGGAATAGTTTTGTTTCATAGTTTGGTTTTCTTACTATGCGGCAGATGATTTTCCCAGTTATTTTGACCTGTTACGGTGTTATGTGATTTAAAACAACTTTTTTTAAAAATTAAATATTTTTAAAAAAATTTTTCCTTTTTTTGAGAAAATTTCTCTTTTTTAACTCTTCTTTCCTCCTCCTTACCTCTCTTCATACTGTCCTCACTCCCGCTAATCCCACAATCATAGCGTCTCCCTTTCTTACCTTTCCTCCTTTCTCTTCCTTTTTCCATTAAGCACTGCGATCGTCATACTGATGAGATCCAGTCGCGATGTTGAGTTGAAACGTTTATGACTTAATGGACTGAAACATCTTATCTCACTCTTGCCTTCTTTTCTCATACTGTTAAAGGTTGAAGAGAAAATATTAAGAAGGAAAGAAAACAAGGAAAACGAGGAAAAGGGTAGTAAGACGGGGAAGGGGACTGAGGAAATATTTGTCATAGGTGAGAAATTTTTCGGTCCATTAAATCGTATACATTTCTTACAGTTACTACAGTTGGAACGCGTTTGTTTCTGTATTCTATCGCGCCCTTGCATTTAGGCTTTCTAGGGTTAACCTGGTCGCTACGATCCGCGTAATGGATTGAAACAGTAAAAGCATTTAGATGGCTTTAACTATTCCTGAGATATCCGTGGTCTTTCTTGAGCATCACACTTGATACTAGACATTGCGACCCATAAAAAGCGACAAGGCGCCTTGCCAGACTAAGAGGGATGGCTACATCACATTGCCTGTTGATAATCAAACCGTCCAAGGAATCTTCACAGTCACCCGAGATGTCCCAGTTCGGTACTTATAACCCCGTGATATATTAAAGGTTGAAGAGGAAATATCAAGAAAAGAAGAAAAAGAGGAGAAAGGTAGTAAGATAGGAAAGGTGTCTGAGGGAATATTTGTAATAGGTAAGAAATGTTTCGGTCTATTAAGTCGTATATGTTTGCCACCTCTTCGTAGTCCCCGCTTGTATCACTTTTTGTGCAACTTGCATAAAATTTTTAGCAAGGCAGGCATCATGCGCTCTTTTTCTCTCCTTCCGTGCTCCTCTCATTCATTAATTGAATTTTTTTGGATGCGGAAAATGCATCCCCGACATATGCTAGTACCAATTCTACCATCAAAACGAATAAGCAGATCGTAAAGGGATTGGTTATCGTTTTTTTTTTTCAGAAATTATCATAGTAAAATACAAAATTAAGAAATCAATAAACAAAATTAAGAAAAATTATGTTCTCTCCTCAGAAATCTACAGCTTTCAGGCTGCGGCATGCAAATTGGGCCGAATTTGCGTGAACGGTAATCAGATGACCGATGTGAATTACGTGGTGCAGAATAACGATGCTATTGAACATATCGGGCATCGTCACGAAAATCCCATCCTTGATTGCCGCATCAAAGTAATTGATAGCAACAGCGACATACTTGTTGTGGACAAACCCCCAAGTATGCCGGTGCATCCGTGTGGCCGATACAGTTTGCATACTGTTATGGGAATGCTTCGAGAGCAACGCGGCCTTCAGGGACTTCGAGGTAAATTTTTTATTTTTATGCGTTTTTTGCATCTATGCAATGCAAAAGGCATATTGTCACGGGGTTGTCTGTGTGCATATGTCTGTGTGTTCGTCTGTACCGATTTTTTCATCTCGGAACTTATAACAGCTACAGAGCTGGAACTTTGCGACCTTAATCTGCATACACATGCGGGCTATCATCTCTGAAAATTTACGCTCTTACATACGTGGTCCCCACTTACGGGTCTGTAAAAGTTTTTGGCGAACAGGCTTCTAACTTGGAAACCAGAAAAGCTAGAAAGTTGAAATTTTAGGGGGATTTTTCCTAACATTCCTGGTGGCCAATCTCAATTCTTTTGGCTAAAAGCATCTACTGGAAAAAACAGTGCCGTTAGCGGCAAAAATCTGTGGGGAATTGTGCCAAAAACGCATCTTCGCATCGGTGCGCTGGCCAGTTGCTTTTTTTTTGCATGATACGATTGCACTGTTTTGTCAGCACGTTGGGAAAAGAATGGTGAAGTTGCCCAGGTGCATCAGTGGCGAGAAGAAACACGATGATGAAACAAAACTGATCAAAGCAGAATATGGTTTCCTCCCCCTCCCCCTTCCCCTCCTCCACTATTTTCTATGGAAAACAGACACAGGCAAAATTACAACTTCACCGAGGACAAGCATTTTTTGGAAAGCTTTTGGGCCGGTTTTTTATCCAGGATTGTATCGGAAGCGTGCTAAAGGCGGTACAGCTAGACCTTAATTACAGGCAAATGCGGGGAAATTGAGTGGAACGGGAGCAGTGTTTATTAGAAAATGAAACAGAACCCTTCCAGCTCAACAAATTAAACCTGGTTTACAATCACCGCTTGATGGAATTCCAATTCTTTTCGAAAAATACCAAAATGAACCGCTTTCCTCCAGCACACCGGCCGCACCCAAACTCTTCTAGGAATCCATCCACACCTCAACACCTTCTTCCAGAAACTGCTCTAAACCCCCTTTTTACAGGATACTACTCATGTCTCCACCTGTACATGGAGAAAGAATAGGGAAAAGTTTTTTTTTTAAATTTTCATTGTTTACAGCTAAGAGATGAAACACAGACTGCATCATTAAATATTTCCTTACTACATTTAAAGGATGAAAGACAATTTGCACCGTATAATATGATCTTACACATAACCGCTGAGTACAATCCTTCTGGTCTATTATTTCTTGAGAATAATATTCATAAATTAACAACTGGCAGCAGTGAATTCTTTTCTTATTTTACAGTTGTGCACAGATTGGATCGAACCACGTCCGGTGTGCTTATTTTTGCCAAAAATGTTGAAACTGATTCAAAAGTGAGTTTTTTTCAAGTTTTTGTAATTTTTTTTATTTTTAATTTCCAGGTGCACTTTCGAAAAGCAAAATTCTTACTGATTTTTGGTAAATTCGCTCCCAAAAAATGAATTTCAATTTTTTTCTGTTGAGATATGAGGGCAGATGCCTGCCACTGCGCTAGATCCTTTTTTTATTTTTATTTTTTGGAACTCATAACTTAATTTTTGGCATTTTTCCACATCGTAGATGGACGTAAATTCGAAATTATGACATATTTTGTTGCATTATGTTTCGCTTCTGTGCTGCTGAAAAATGTTTTTCAGTTGAAAAAAATGTTACTTTCCGGAAAGCACTGGCACAAAGAATACATATGCAAAGTAGAAGGCGTCTTCCCAGCGTGAGTATTATTACTTTTTATGCGATTTTTGCAGCTATGCTATGCAAAAATGCATATTGACGAGGGGTTGTCTGTGTGTCCGTGTCTCTGTGTGTGCA